CAAAATTATTTAGTAAACAACTGTATTTATATAGTGCTTTTCCAGTCTTGATGACCACTCATCAAGTGCTTTGCAGTACGGTAATGCATTCATCATGCATCGATCATACACTGCTTGCACCATTTGGGGTTCAGCATCTTGCCCAAGGACAGTTTGGCATGCAATATGGAGCAAACTGGGATCAAACTGCACACCCCCGATTAGTGGACGACTTACTCTACCTCCTGAGCCACAGCCCCTCATTTGTCCAATTCATTGGCCATAATTATGATATACATTTTAAACAGGTATTTCTGTATTCCACTAATTACACCAATTCACCCAAATTAGATTTTAGGTCAGTCCCTGTCTCAAGCTGTTAATGTTCTCTTATGACTGTCTTGAAAATGCTCAGGCTGTCCTATCATGTATTGTTATTTAATTCCTTGCAGGATCTAATGACTTTATTTTGATTGTCCACAGCGGTATAATAAGCAGAGACATCAGAATATTTAAGAAGCATTTTTGTTCCTACATATCAGTCATACCAGGGGTAACTGTCGCATGTTCTCCTAGAGTTGGAAAACCAAGTTTATAACCACTAACTCTAACTGCTTTGTAAATGAGTTGTGTTGTGTTTTTTCATTTCTACACTTCCTTCAAGCCATAACACTGAAGTGTGGGTTTTAGATGGTGGTAATATTAATACTGTTTATATTAATTGGAAAACATTTGAACATGTAAACATGTGTCTAATTAAACAAAGAAACAACTGAGATCAGTGCAAAACTAAAAAATCATTAAGTGTCTTTATTTAGGGAGAATACATTGTGTCCATTATAGGACTGGGCGATATGGACCAAATCTCGTATTTTAAGTCCGAATGGCGATATACAATATAAATCGGTATTTTAAACAAAACAGTCAATGTGTTAAGTTTTAACTCAATGCCACTAGTAATCATCATAAACTTGTTTTATTTAGACTATCAAAGTCCAAACCTTCCAGGTTTCCAGCTTCATTTTCTGCTCAACAAAAAGCTGTGCAGATAACAGATACAAACAACAGGTGTTCCCTGTTTGAAACATGTACAGTAATATGTAAAAAAATTAATGAAAGCTATAGTTCAAAATCAAATAGCCTACATCCTACACAATAGGCATAATTCTGCTGTTACAGAGCTGTGCAAATAACAAACATGTAAACAGTAGAACAGGCAAGTATTAGGTAAAAAAGCTCTTACAGAGTTGTGCAAATAATATAAATGTAAACAAAAAATGGCTGACCCTGGAACAGGCCTGCAGCTTCACAGTATTAACATACATAGAAAACAGAGAAATATAATAAAACATACATTAGCCCATATTCTGAATTAATAAGCAGGCATACCTCTGCTTTTAACAAAAATAACAAAATGTACACACTAGTATAGGCTTCACCTGTTTGAAAATACACAGCTGCACAATTAGTCAACAGTGAAAATGTGAAAATTAAAATGGTACCGCGAGTCTGGCTTATGAATCCCTTCTTTTCGACCACCGATATAGGGACCATGGCGATGTGGTATGCCACCGCCTTGGTTATGTCGCGGCACTTTTAATTCTTCCGGTCATAAGGCACCACACTACTAAATGATGCTTGTAACGAGCTTTGTTTTGGGAGAGAGGCCGACACAGGTGAGACCTTGGAGGCCCAGCAGCACCACGTAGTTTTGCACTCTCTTCATACAGCAGTTGATGGTTCTGCTGTAGATGGTGGAAGAGATTTGAGGTGCTTCCACCTTTAGACGTGATCTGTTTTCGGCATGTTTTGCAAAACACATCAAGTTGCTCTACATCTGCAACCCGAAAGCCAAAATACCTCCATAGGACAGAGCCGTTGTTTTTTTTTCTTGGGCACTAAGTGGTTGCTCTCCTCCAGCGCTGTGTCCGACATGTTTTTTTTTTTACAGTTTGTTGTGATGCGTTGTTGTGCACGTACTTACGTATGTACCTATGGACTACCTACGTATGTACCTACGGACTACCTGCGTATGAAGGGGCGGGGTTGAGCAGCAAAGTTACATGCTGGCACAGAGAGGAGCAGGAAACGGCATTACAAAGTAGCTGTCGTAAGCCAACATCAAAACATTATTAAATATCTGTATGGCGGTATTGTCTCAACTACATATCTCTTTCGAAAATATAGGTATAAGTCTTAATACCGATATACCGCCCAGCCCTAGTCCATTACATAGGCTTTCCTCACAGAGTAAAACTATATTACCTTTTAACTTCTTTTACTTTGAAAGTCAAATTCAGTCGGTGTCTTTCGATTTCATCAATATTGAAGTCATG